GTTCTCACAGGCCCACCTCTCCAGCCTGTGCACTTGATCCCACTGTCCTTGTCACCAACAAAGATGTTAAATAGCACTGGCCCCAGCACTGACCCCTGAGGGACACCACTCGCCACTGGCCTCCACTTGAACGTTGAACCGTTGACCACAACTCTTTCAGTGCGAACATCCAGCCAATTCTTTATCCACTGAGTGGTCCATCTATCAAAACCATGTCTTTCCAGATTAGAGACAAGGATGTCATGTGGGACAGTATCAAATGCTTTGGATAAGTCCAGGTAGACAATGTCAGTTGCCCTTCCCCTATCCATCAATGCTGTGACCTCATCATAGAAGGCCACCAGATTAGTCAGGCAGGATTTGCCCTTAGTGAAGCCATGTTGGCTGTCACCAATCACCTCCTTATTTTCTATGTGCCTTAGCATAGTCGCCAGGAGGATCTGCTCCATGATCTTGCCAGGCACGGAGGTGAGACTGACTGGCCTGTAGTTCCCTGGGTCTTCTTTTTTCCCCTTTTTAAAGATGGGGGCTATGTTTCTCCTTTTCCAGTCAGTGGGAAGTTCACCAGATTGCCACGACTTCTGAAATATGATGGAGAGTGGCTTAGCAACTTCATCCGCTAGTTCCCTCAGGACCCACGGATGCACCTCATCAGGTCCCATGGACTTGTCCACCTTCAGGTTCTCTAGATGGTCTCAGACCTGATCTTCAGAATGTTATGGGATTCTAATCATCTGTGGGAGCCATCTGAAGATGAGGAAGTAGTTGCACCCCTCACAGGGTAGGGTATCGAACAAAGATCAGTTTTCAAATCCAAAGGCCAGCTGAATTTTCTGCAGCTCTTCCTTCCTGCAACCATACCCTAAAGGCTGGTGAGGAGTAATCTCATATTGTTACATCCTTGTTTAAGCCTGTGCAGTTTATGTAGGCAAAGGCTAACACCTGAACCATTTTGCTACTTTGAAACTCCTGACAATCACCTGGCTTCCTTCTTAAGCTAAACCACTGAAGCAACATGGAGTATTTGAGAAAGGGACTTCCAGATCCCCTGGTTTTATTTCCTCTGGTGTTTCATATTCAATATCGAGATAGAGGCTCCTTTTAGTTCTGTTTTCTCAGCTGTTCATCCATTTCTCATTCTCTGTAATGAGTCCCCCTTGCCTCTCTGGTTCCCTTCATGGCATCTTACAGACTAGCTCGTACATCTTGACCTCGTGCATCTTGTCAGTGCACTCAGCTCTCACAAGTGCCTGAGGCCTCTGAATCTCAAGGATGTCCCATTCTCCATGACAGATTAAAGGACCAATTAAAGGTTTGTTCAATGCTACCAGCAGTCATGACAGCAGATGCTATTTTGTCCTTGTCTGTGCCCTGTCTGCATTTGTTTTTTGAGGAATTCCTGTTTAATAGCTGCCCCAGAGATACTGAGTTTGAGAGCACAACCCCCCACACTAGTGACGTCTGGGATCACACCGCCTGTGGCTGCTTGGATAAGGGCACTGGTACATTCCCACAGGACAGTTGATCAGAATAAGATAATTTGCTCCCATAGCTTCAAAGGAGATAGCTTTTAAAAAAAAAATAAGCTAAGCCATTTACCGCAGTAGATCTCTGCTGACAAGGAGAAATCCACTGTGTCCTTGGCTGAGATCCCAGAATTCACAAGGCACTTCTATGTGACAAATCAGCCTGAGTGCTTGTGCCCTATGAGAAATTTTAGACTAGGTTGGGTACCACAGACTTGCATTGAGAGCATTTGCTCCTGGAATGGACACATACCTAAGAAATGTGTGTCACACAATGGTCCAGACTTGCCAGCAGCTAGTAATAAGTGCGGTAGACACAGGAAGAGTGGGGACGATCAACATTGTCAGAAATTCCTACACTTTTTCAGTTGGCAGAGGGCTTCAACCAAAGCATGCATGAAAAAATCCTTATTGCTTTGATCAAACAAAGAGTTTTTTCCAGATCTTTCTGTTCTGGAGTGGGAAAACATGTATCAATAGGCTGAAAGATGCAAGCACTGCCCCTGTCTTTCAGGCATTAGGTCTTCAGGTAGAAGTTTAGTTCTTCATAATCAGGAGACCTTGTAAGACAACACCATGAAGGTATGGTGCACCACCTTGGCTGTATCTCTACAAATAAATAAAATGTCTGGCACCTTGCTAGACCTTATCTGATACAAGCCTTCAAACATATGCATGTGGTTGAAAGGTCTGCCTGAGCTTGCTCTCTGCTGGTGATCTGGGTCAAGGGAGATGCAGCAGCTTGAAGTCCACTCCTACTACTAGCCATCACTATGTTCAGGTGGTAATGATGTTTAATCAGGTACTGGTCTTAGGAGAAACATTGCTACCATGGCTTTCAATGACAGCCTTCATCCTCCCTGACACACCTTTCCCAGTCACCTGGAAGGCAATGTGTGGGAACTTCAAAGAACACAGGGCTGCTCTGTAATCTGAAAGTAGCTGTGGTCCTCCAAATGGGCCATCCACCCAGATTCAGTGGCCTGTTGTTCTCTGAAAACCATCATCCTAGTCTTGTGATGGACATCCTCGCTTTTCTAGGTTGTTTGGTCTTTTTGCCTTTGGCTGTGACGAGCAAAAAGGCATTTATTAGTCAGGCACTGCTTGTGACTTGCTGAAATGGGTTGCATTGTTGTCCCCAAGAGCTGTGTTGAATACATCGCCCTAATAAGTAGCATTCTGAGCAACGTTTTGTTTCTAAATACAGATAACATAATTCACCTAGTGTAGTTTTTATTTTTAAATTACTATTTTTACGCTAGTCTGCAGAGAAGAATAAAGAAAAGGAGGTAGAGTCTGTGTTTCATATGCTAAGTTAAGGGGTAAGCCACAGTGATCTGTGGTAATCTAATTCTTTTCATCTACATGTAAACTCATGAGAAATCGGAGATTTTTCAGGAGGGCCCAGCAGGTAAATATTTCCCCTTTTAACACTCAAATAAGTGGAATTAAAGAGAGGTCAAGTTGGAGGACACAGAAATCTTGCCTTCTGAGACTGTAAAAGGAAAACTTGGGCTTTTTTGAAAATCTGGCTTTTATGTCCTTTGCTGGTGAAGTAGGTGAACTGAAGCTTTGCTATAATCTGGCTGTGTTTTGGTACGTCTAGATTTCTCTCTAAATAGGGTCCACTATGAAGAGAGAGGTATGTTTTGACAAGGAGTGTGCAAGAATTACTGAAGTGAAACTTAACTGGTCAGTTTCTCATTCATGCTTGGTTTTCACTGCTTTTTAAGGGATGAAGAAGAGAAAAAAAAGTCTCACTCAGATGGTACAGATGAAAAGGATAATGGGAGCCAGACGAAGGCTGTCAGTCGAATTGGCAACTCAAATAATCCATTCCTGGACATCCCTCATGACCCCAATGCTGTTGTGTATAAAACTGGATTTCTGGCTCGGAAAATCCATGCGGATATGGATGGAAAGAAAAGTGAGTATCTTGCACTCTTAACATCTCATTTTCTTGTTATCTCTGCATAATGCCACTTACAATGAGCCCGTGTGCTTCTGAAGGCAAATAGTGCTGCTTCATTAGGGGAAATTGCAGCAATAACAAACAACGTAGCAATTGGATTATCACACTCTCACTATTAGGCCAGGATTTACAATGTTCAGTCCCATTTGCAGCAGCTCTAATGCATGAGCATAATGAGTAATGTGATACAGCAGAGCAATGTGAATTTTTTGTGCTGAAAGAAAATGAATCTCATGGTTTACAGAAGAGAAAACAATTTCAAGTGAATTACAGTAGCTGTTCCGTAGTAGTTTGGTAATTCTCCTTTTCCTTATGTGACGCTAGAATTGTTTCAAATCTCCCCTCCCCTCCGGGTCTGTCTTTAAAGAAAGGCTGTTCTTTATCGCTGCTTGGAAGATGCTGTAACCGTTCCCTTCCCTGCTTTTCCCAGCCTCGGGTCATGTATCCAATGAAGGGCAGCAGCTTTTGGTAACAGCCAGGTTTATGCCATGCAGTTCCTCCCTACCCCTTTTTTGTAATAGTCCTAATGTGTCTCTTACTTTAGTTATCCTCTTTCCTTCTCGTCCTACTTCCATTTGTGCTGCACTAATTATCGAAGGCCTCTGATTCGCCTGTGTGTGTTTTGTTGTTTGGATATCTTCATTTGTTTGTTTTCTATTGATCTTGGAAGCAGCAGAGGCTACTCAGAGCATCTGTATTTTCCCCAGTCATTACTGATGATCACCTACGCATGGTTCACACTGTTGGGCTAAATCCTGAAGGCAAAGTCTGACTGCGTGATGAGTTTCCAGTAACTGCAGCTCTCTTCTAGCTGGGCTAAGCTCTTTGGTGTTGGCATGTTTTGATGGTGTATTTTAGAAGATACAATTGGAGGTTGGTGTTTTCAAGCTCGAGGCTGACAGCTGGACAACTAAATCCAAACAGAGATGTTGAAATCAAACTGACCTCATTCTTTGTGATGACTGGATGCTCTGAATAGGTTCCTCTTTATTAAACTTCTGTTTATTTAGTCTTAGTAAGTAATTGTGTCTAGTTGCCTCTATTAAATTATTTCTTCGAGTAATCAGAATTGCTCATTATTCAGCACACTGGATCCTGGCATTTTAGGGATAATCATTTAATGGGTAATGTAATTAGAGCCATGTTTTCAGAAGTTCCTGTACATCTTAGAGGTCTGTCTCTTATTGTCATGCAGCTCTTGAAAAAGTTACAGTTTGACTTTCTAGTTGCAAATAAAATGAAACTCGTTTTATTAAAGATAGTTAGACCTTTTCATATTTCAGTTCCTAATGGAGTTGTTGCAGGGCAGAGATCAGCTTGTGTGAGATTGCTAATGAAGTGATATGCTAGCATGCTGTATGTATTTTCTCAGGAAAGGAGTACTGAGGGCTAAAGCACTTAGGCAGTCTAGAGGAGAAGGATGTAACAGGGGCCAATGGCTGGAAGCTGAACTGAACAAATGCCAATTAGATAAAAGGCCAGTCGTGTGAGATGAGAGTGATTAACCTCTGGAGCAAGGGACTAATAACCTCTTCACCATCACTTGCTTTCTTCAGATCAGAATGGGATGCCTTTCTGAGGGTGATGCTTTAGTCATGCACGAGTTATTAATTCCAGTACAGAGACAAGTGAATGCTGGTCAGTGGTACATGGTTGGAGAAGGAGCTTAGATCATAGAATCATAGATGTAGGCTTCTAGTCTCTGGTGCTGTGACCATACAGCCTGTGTGTTCTCACCCTCTGTGGCAGCTGAATTTCAAACTGGAGCCTTCATGCTGAATCCTCTTTTTTTTAACTCGCTGACCCCCCCCTCCTCGTTTCTAGGGATTTGTAGGCTGGATATGTTGTCTCTATTACATTCTTCAACCTCTAACTGACTCTAGGTTTCCTGAGGGGTGGTTTGTCTTTTTTTCCTTAGGATTTCCTTTGTCTCCCCTCTCCTTTCTCTTCTCCGGCTTCCCCTGTGGCTGCAGGAAGAGGAGAAGGGACCAGGAAGCCATCTGACCACTCAGTGCCAGCTGGGGTGTGCAGGGGAAGGATGCTCTCGAGAAGCAGTGTTTTCTGCGCAGCGTCCCGTGGGTGCGGAGCAGTGCCTGCCAGCCTGCTGTGGCATGGGGAAAGGGTGTTTCCTTCTGAAACCTGCCACAGCGCAGAGCTGAGACCTAGCTGTGCAGGGGTAGTGTCCGCCTACCTGCAAGGGCACAAAGACTGGATCTCTCCGGCCTGCTTTCTGCATTGCTGCTGTTCCCTTCTGATCCAGTCCAGTGCTGTCGTCAGGGCTGTTCTATTGCTCTCTCACGCAGCAGGTGTGCGCAGGCACTGTGCTGAGTTGCATTGTCCTTTGAAAAGGAGAATACAAAGGAGGTTTAACGCAGGACTAATGTAGCTCTCCTGTTGCCTAGACAAAGTGTAAAAATGGATCCGAGTTAAATGGGTTTTCATTTGTTTTCTTTGCAGCTCCCCGGGGAAAGCGAGGCTGGAAAACCTTTTATGCTGTGCTGAAGGGAACAGTCCTGTACTTGCAGAAGGTAGGGGAAATCACTGTCTTGTGGAAACTAATTAGAGAGAGATAAAGCAGCAAGCATCCTCTCTGCTCTCACAGCCCACCTCCAGGCTCCTTTCCCTCTGACACACAGTGTAGCTGCTCTTTCTGTCCCCCACCCTGTTTACATACACATTGAGGCATGAATCCTTTCATTGGCACCCTCCAGCTTTTCACACTTTCAAATCCACTTCAGTTGACCCCATCCACATGTGCACCCTATCAATTCCAGTTTAAACCATTGCTGTCACTCACGGCTGAAAAAATAGCCAGCTTCACCAGCAAAGACAGCATCATCTCTCTGTGTCTTGTACGCGTTCCTCTAGGTTGCTTTTAACATCGCATCTCTTACGTATGCCTTCCCCTCCTGTAAGGCTGTCCTCCTTTCCCATCTTTTCATAGCATACTTTTCTGCAATGCCTGCAAGACCAGCTGCAAAACAATTGAGTGGCAGCTTGGCCTTGGTAGGAACCTGCAGCTTCTGCTCCAGAGCAAAATTAAGGGATAAAATCATACTTTTGTTTTTTTCCCCCAAAGCAAGATGAGACACCAGTTTCTAGCAAACTTTGTTCCCTGACAGCAAGAAGTCTAAAAAAAAAGTCAGCTGAAACCCTTCAAGTCTTTTGGCACAAGCTTAAATATATTGTAGCACAGTTTTAACTCTACTCTTGGAACGTGAAATGTAACATATGAGTGAGAATTGTCAAAATCAAATAAATAGTAGCAGCTAAGTAGATTGTTAAGGCTTTTTGCCTCCCAACATAGGTGAAATATTCATTAACTAAGTGGTGTTTATACAGACTGCTCTGTATTGTAGAAGTCTGCTCCTTTGAAAGCCTTTTTACATTTCTACTGTGTTTTGCAACTATCGGAAGCACAAGTTGAAGTGCATACTGTTGTTTTCTCTTTCCCTGCTGTGGCTTTCTGAAGTTGTTGGTTTCATTGGAGCCAGCCTGGATAGTCTCTGAGAAGAGAGAGAGAGGTTTGGATTGAATCCTTACAGCATGAGGTTTACAAGTTGCATGCTCTGGGTGTGGTACCTTTTTGAGAGGGCTGAAATCCTGAAACAGACAAAACAATCTGCAGTTAGGATGGAAGATTTGGTCTGAAAGCTGGATGTGACATGCTCAAAGCCAGTGCAAGAGGCTAGAACCAAGTCTGCTGAATCACAGCTGAGCCTTCCCTCTGATCCTCTTGCTGGCAGCGGGTTCAGATTTTACTAAAGCGGCCTTCATGGCACTGTGGGTTTGTACTTGCTCTTTCCTGGGTGAAATGGAGTCACTTGCTTTGATTTCTGAAATAAGTCGTCTTTAGTGTTCACCTGAAAAGACAGTGGTTCCCTAAGAAGTAAGAAGGCTCCTTGTCCATAACACATTAATTAATTTCTTATTTGATCTTTGAAGGGAGATTAATAAGCTTTCGAGAGGAAGAAATGGAGACACTGTCTATTGTAGAGACTTAATTAAATACTGTCATGAGTATCATGGCATATTAGTTTAAAACAAACATATTAGTTTGACAAAATGTAGAGATGCTGGCGTAGCATGCAAATTTTCTACAGAATGGTGCTCTCCTCACTGTCACCCTCCATCCTGTGGAGACCAAGAGAGTAATTTCACATCTGACTGCGTCTTTGCAGAACGAAATGCATTGCTGAAGTTCTTGTTTTTATTTGCTTGTTATTTGTGTGTCTTGCACTTGTCACAGCACTTGAATTCAGTTATTACAGGGTGGTTACTCTGCAGAGCTGCACTCTCGCACTTGGTCCTGAAGACACTTGCACTGAAGCCATCTCACTGTAGCGCAGTGGCAAGCAAGGCTTTTACTTCAGTGCAGTAAAAGGTTGACGGGGGGCCTAATGGGAAGTGACTCGTTCGCAGCGAGATGGGGCAGCTGTGGCCTCCCCAGGGCACCTCCGGCCCCTGCTCAGCCACAGTGCCTCATGCTGCAGCTATGAAACATCCTCTAGTTTCTCTTCAGCTCCAGAAGGTCCAGCAGGGCTTTGGTTCAGCCCTGAAATAAACTTTGCTCTGTTAGGGACATGGTACCATGGAAGTTGAGGGTGCCAGGGTTTTGAAATACACAGCTAGACTAAGCTGTTGTAGTAAAAGTTGCTGAGCTGTTGTTTCCTTTTGCAATATACCAGGAGACTGAAATTATCCTAATTTCAGAAAGTTCAGGAGCGTTGTGGAACAGCTTGATTTCTTTGTAGAAATGCATAGCTCTGGCAGTAGTCATGGGCAAAGGATTTCCTTGCCTTTGTTTGTCTTCTCTCCTGATTATGGAGTGCTGTAGGGCAGGGTGCATTCACATATGCACACACACATTTTCCCTCTTTGTCTCATTATCTGTATGTTATCCGTATATCTGTGGAGGTAACATCTGTGATGATGGTTTCATTGCACTGACTTGCAAGGGGAGCAAGCAGGGGAGAGAGAAATCTTACTGTTCTAGGTGCTGTGTACACATGAACACATGTACAGACCTCTGCACTATTGCTTTCTGTGTTTGTTCCCTCAAGACACTACTGTAATATAAATACTAATTGTTTGCAGCAGCTGTGATTCCCGAAGTGGGCAGTGTGATCCCAGTTCTGCTGTCGTTCTGGCTGCATACCAGTCCAGTTCTCCTTGTTTTGCTGTCGAAGTCCATGTATGAGAGTGGTTTTGTAAATGGTGGTCACTTGAGGTTTACAGGGGAGCATATCTGGACAGCCTTGTCTCCATGCCCGCATTTATTTATTTTTTTTCAATTGGAACTGTTCCAGTGCTAATTCCTGTGCTGCATATGGTTTTATTTTTAAATGAGTGATTTAAGAGAGCGGGTTTCTGAATTAGTGAGCACAGAGGCCACCAGAGGGGCTCAGTGGAAGCGTTCACAATTAGCCAACTACACATGCCTGCACAGTATTATATTAAATGAGAGGTTTGACATGTTTGAGATGTTGGCCCTGTCTCTGGGCATCCTCAGGCCAAGGTTAATTTCCTGCCCTCTGTTCATAGCGAGAGGAAATTGCAAAGTAGGAGCTTGACAGAACGTCTGTTCACTAGACTGACATGGGATGTGATGTGCGTACAGACGAGAGGTTTATAAGGAGAGGACATAAGGCTGACCTCGCTTCCTTGCTAAAAATTGCTTCCAGGGAAGCAGCACAGGACATGGACCTTTGTGTTTTGTTCAGACTCTTCTGTGAGGTTTGCAACATCTTCGCTCTTTGATGTGGCACTTTATAATCTTGTGGGCTTTCAGGTATTTTTATGTAACTTTTCTCAAATGCATTACCTCTATTAAAATATTAAAAAAGGAGAGAAAGGCCAGAAGGATGTAAAGTGTTCGGTGACGAGACTTTCTGAAAGAGAATTTTGCAGCTGTCACATGCAACTGAGCGGAGATATCCACCCACAGTACATTGGCTGATAAAAAGCCAAATGCCATTCTCTGGTCTATCAAAAACGGATTTAGAAACATGCTGACTCTGGGTCAGCAGGATGTGGGAAAGTCATTCTCCAGGAGTCTGAGAAAGATGAATTCAGCATGTCATTGCGTTGTGTGCAGCACTCGCATCAACCTTCAGTTGATAGAGAGGTCACAGTTCCTTTCTGGGTCCTCATATATTTCTTACTGCTGTCTTGGTCTAACTTTAGTGTCAGACGAGGAGCCTTCCATTTCAGCTCAACCTCCACGCTGACACCAGCACATCAGAGCACGTGCTGTCCTTGATGACATAGGAGATATGGATGTTCCTGCCCACCTAGTATTCTCTGCCAGTTGAAAAGAGTTGGAGGCCTTAGAGGAGGAATTTTGATAGCACGTTCATGTCCTTCCAGCTTTCTATGAGGCTGGCCAAGTACGTGGAGACATTTCCGGTATGCTGATCAGTGCCTTTGGAGAAGATGGCAAAGCCCCAGCTGTCAAGGTAGATTGCAGCCAACTGATCCGGTGGGATTAGCTAGGATTGTCATGAACACTTGCTGTTGGTATGGAGAAGTTCTCAGCCAGGGCTGCTTCTGGCACTGCCCAAATGTGGAGTTCTTCTGGAACAGGTTTAGACATCAGAGCCGGTTGTGGACGTTGGATGCATCTCACAGAGGAAGCTGGGAGGCGACAGGTGAGGCGATAGCTGACACTGTCTCCAGGCAGTAACTTTAGGAAAGCCAGAATATCATGTTTCTGAGGCCTATGTTCATTTCCTGGCCCTGAAGTTTTCCCAGTCTCCCTGGACAGTGGAGCCAGTCATTTCCCCCCAAACTACCACAAAATACATCAGCTGTTGAACCCATGAAGGAAGGGGCTTGACCTGTGGGCTTGCTTCCTTCATCTTCAAGATGGGGCTTGGACAGCCTCCTCCAGTTCTTATCCTTCAGCTGGGGACTTTCTCAAATCTTCCTTGAAGAAGGTTTAGAGAGTGTCTTAGGCAGGGATAGGCAAAGTCCATCATGATGTGGAGATCTCTCAAAAGTTTGCTGGGACTCAAGCTATGAAAAGGGAAGGACATTTGTCTTTGCTCACTACCAGACCTTGAAAACCCCTTATGTCACAGGTGTTTAGGCTGAAGGCTAACCTTCCATCGTCTTTGATCATCTGTGCACCAGTGCTCTGCCTTTCCACTAGGCCTGCCAGATCTGTGATGGGTTGCGCCCTTGTCTGGCCCCAAGTAAAGGTGGTGCTGCGACATTGCTGTTTAGCTGCGTCTCCTCAGGTAAGGTGTCTGAGCAGCAGCGACTAAGGGACCTGCACTAACTGGACTGCTGTGAGGATGGATGAGGTGCGGCAGAGGAGCAGAATGCTTCGTCCTTCCTTCTGGGACGTGTTCACCACAGCTGGTGACTCTTCATCCATTGATCCTGGAGAGCCCCGACCAAATCCAGCCTGGCCGAGAGTGCAGATGCCTTTGGCAGTAGTGTAGTTGCCTCTGGCTGCAACCCTGGTCTGTGTGCTGCCAGAGGAGCCCTGTAAGCCAATGAATGCCCGTTGACCAGCTCTTCTCCAGGGTGGGTGCCTCCCTGGGTGTTTAAGCTAGTGCTGTCCCTGCACTCTCTTGCCTGCTAAACCCCGTCTCATAACTCTTGTATTCAAGTGGAGAGATCAATAGTTACCATGCCTGCAGGGAATTGTTCCTCTGTTTTGCAGCCGTCACACTCCCTCCCTTGGTGGGGGTTTCAGATGAGACCGATTTCTGCCATGTACTAAGGGGGAGAAATTCAGTTGATTGCAGACTGCTTTGGCTTCTCCAGAGACTTTGCTTGTGCAGCATTGCTGGCAAGTGACTTTTCTTTGAAAAAGCTCCTGGCTTTCCCAAGCCATTTATTGTCAGGTGGGCTTTAAACTGAACTTGTAGCTACGCCATGATTGTGCCCTCATCCAGCTTCTTTCACTCAGGAGATCAAAGACAGCTCACAGGCTGACGCTTGCAACACAGAGGAGTTTGACTCCCTGCGTTTGTCATCTGGTGTTAGGGGTGTTGTGTCAGAAACCTGGACAGCGCTGCGCTTGCCATTGGCAGGCCCTGAGCAGAGAGATTTAAAGGAGGTTGCCCTATTTGCTTTGTGGAGTCTGATAAGGAGGCTTCTCCACTCTGTGGACCTGCCTAGGAGGGCATAAAAAGGTAGATGTTGGAGAAAAATAAAAATCGATCTGTGGAGGCTGAGAACCCAAGCAGGAACCAGCAGCTGAGCAGTGGAGGTGGCGAGCTGGCCATGAAGGGTTTCTGAAATGAAGACAAATAGTCCACAGCTGTTGTGATAGACAAGTACTCCCTGTTTACCTCTCTTCTTGTCAAACAGGTAGTGGAACTCTTTCTCTCTCTTGCTAAGAGATCAATAAAGAGAAAGAATGAGAAAGGAAAGGACGTTAAAGGTAGTGGAAGCCGCAAGTGCTCAAGTCAGGTTGCATTCAGTTCATATACTTTAATGCTCTTTGTGACTACGGAACAAGGTTTTTCCCTGGGTTAAGGATAAAAGGAGTAGCACGTAGAGAAATAAGATGCCATTTTTCCCCTGTTAACTCCTGCAGGATGAATATAAGCCAGAAAAGGCTTTGTCGGAGGAAGATCTGAAGAATGCAGTCAGTGTGCATCATGCGCTGGCATCCAAGGCAACAGACTATGAGAAGAAACCCAATGTCCTCAAGCTTAAAACAGCAGATTGGAGGGTCCTGCTTTTCCAAGCCCAGTAAGTGCTCTCTTCTGATTTGTGCCAATCTTTGAGGAAGGAAAGCAGTGCTGAAGGAGGGGCAAATTCATGCCTGGACAGGTTAAAGCAGAGGCTTAAGAGGTTCAATCTGTTTATTTGATCAGAAATAAGATTAAGTAGTGATTTGATTAGAGTGCACAAGTAGTTCATGAGAAAGAAACATCAGGTTTTAAGAGGCTTTTTAATCTAGCTAAGAAGGGCATAACAAGATGCAGCAGCTGGAAGCTGAAGCTGCAGGAAATTCAATTTGGAAACAAGGCACAAACTTTTAACAGTCAGAGTGATTAATCATTGAAACAAATGACCAAAGGCAGTCTTGGATTGCCTGTCTCCTGATGTCATCAGGTCCTAGCCAGATGTCTTTTAGAAGATACGCTTTGGTCAGAAACAAAGTTACTACTTAATACAAGAATAATTTGATTAAGTTCTTCAGGCTGTGATATCCAGAAAGGACAGATGACCTGCCTTTTTCTTCTGACATTAAAAACTGGTGCATCAGTCTTGTGCATGAACCCTTTTCTACTGAGATCTACATGAAACCTCCTAGAGATCTGTGGTGTCCAGTGCAGCTGAGAACTTAGGACGTATGTCTGAATCAGGGCATTGGTTGGCTCTATTGCCTGTGTCATTTGGATTGGATTAGGAAAAGATGTGTGCCAGGGTGAGTTACGGACCTAATAATGAATCAGCCTGTGACCGAGATACCTGACACTAACCGCTTGCAAAGACAGACCAGAAGACTTAGCAGACTCAAAGACTTGTCCAGTTCTGATTATTCCCGCTTTTAAAATGCTATTGCAGGGCTGGGAAGCAGGTAGAGGAGGCTGAGTCAACAGGTGCTTAACATGTATTTCTTCCCAGGAGCCAAGAAGAAATGCAGACCTGGATCAACAAGATTAATTGTGTGGCTGCCGTTTTCTCTGCACCACCCTTTCCAGCAGCAATTGGCTCTCAGAAGAAGTTCAGTCGCCCACTCTTGCCAGCCACCACAACGAAGCTATCTCAGGTGAGCTGTTTTTACACAGAGGGTATGTGATGGCGATTTCTCTGACTGGCTGGAGACTGGATGGTGGTCCTTAGCATTGTTTTGTGGCTGTCTCCACTAGCATCCCTAGCAGAAGGAGGCTTGCATGGTAAATCTCTGCTTGTTTCCTGATGTGGGATTTGAAGCGAGGTGAGAGAAGGAGCAAACTTGAATATAATTGTCTTGTATGGTTGAAGAAAAGAAACAATCACAAGTGTTCCTAGTAACAGATACAGAGTTTTCATCCCCCAGTTATGGCTCTGCAGAGGATATTTCAGATACTGTGTGACTGGTGTTTTTTGAATTTGAGTGTTTATTGCCACTCATATCAGAAGAAATGTACGTACTGCTGGTCTTTGGCTTATTGAGGTGATGAAAGGTGAAAGCTGATGCATCAAGCAAGCATCAGTTATATTTCTTCCACAATACTTTTCCAGACTCCAACCTGTATCAGCTCAGGGGTTTCCTGTTTAATGTTTATTTATAAACTATCTCCTAAATGAACATCTTTGGTCTCCCCTTGTGATCACGTAAGCTTTTAGCTTCCACAACATCCTGCGGCAGGGAGTTTCACAGCTCTACTACTTCTTGCACAAAAACCACCAACTTCTGCTTGTTTCAGGCTGGCTGCATCTGATGCTTGCGCCCAAAGCTCTGTGTACTTTGGGAGCTGTGATGCATGCCTGCAATTCCTCCTGCACTGGCAGGAACACAAGATTGATTGTGTTGATCAGGTTGACAGAGTGGCAGAGGTGATAGATCTCAATCCTAGGTGTATACTTCACAAGTAACCTCCTGTAGCTTTTAAAGTCATCTGCCCATGCTGGATTGCTTCTTAAATGCATTTTTTTTTGCCATCTTCACAGCTTAGCAACACTCCTTAGAAACCACTATCTCATAATCTGCATTTCTCTAAGGGGGTGGGTTTCTTATGTTGTCCCTGCTTTTTTTCCTCTCCATGGCAGTAACCTTTCTTCTTACAATTTGGTGACCGACTTTCCGTCTTCTATTCTGGGTTAAAGTTTAAAACATGTCTCATACAGAACAATACTCACTTGTCTCATCTTTGTGGCTTTACCTTTTGCTTAGGCATACCTTCTTTAAAATACTGTATGGGGCTTCAGTGATTTACTCCCAATCGCCTCATCGTCGTTCTGTGTGATTGTTCCATTTAGCACATTGTTTCCTAGTCTCATTGTTTCTGCTTAATCTGGAAAGGGAAAAAATAGAACACAGCCCTGTGGTTTGTGTCTCGAAGAAGAGGAGACAGGAAAAGTGGAATAAGATAATCTGTTTCAGCTAAAGGCAGAAGAATGTTAAGTGTTTAAAGCAGATAAATTCAAAGGCAAGCAGAAACACGTCTGCTTTTATCTGTCAGTGTGGAAAAGCTGCCAGCAGGCTGCTTCTCATTTGGCAGATAGAAAAGTACAAATTGTCAAATCCCTGTGGTTGCTGTTTAGGATTTTGTGGGCCAAATCATGATGGACAGTACTTCTTCAAAGGGCATGTTCCTGGTCAGGCAGAAGTCAGGATGCAGTAAGAACCTAACATAGGTGAGGGAGAGAGGTTGGACGTGACCAGTTGTGCAGGATCATTGTACCAAGTTTGCTTTCAAAAAGCATCACTGTCTGATCTTGGTTAGTCCAACCAATGAGCGATGTGACAAAGCTATATGTAAGAAATAACCAGTCTAGAAAAGATCAGCTAGGGTTTTATTTTTTTCCTTTTTTTTCTGAGAATGCGCATGCACACACAAAAGCTCCAAAGGACTGCTGCCCTAGAAATTACAAGTGCCAAATTAGTAGCTACTCAAAGACCTCTTGTCATCAGGCAGGAGAACCTGTAGAGTTCCTGTAGAACTCTCTGCAACAGGATGTCACTGGGACCAGGGATGCAGTACAACGTGAAAAGTGATTGGGCACTAATAGAGAGAACAAACAGATCCAGGGTAGTTACTAACAGCAACAAGAATTTTTGACAGCCAATAGCGAGTGGTTTGAGCCCTACCATGTATAGGCGGAGGCAAATTATCCCACATGTTTCTTTCTTCAGTTCTCTTGCAAAAGAGTTGAAGCACAAGATTAGCTGAGGCTCAACTATCATCCTATGTAGAAGTTTTCCCCCTTTCCGTTCTTTTCCGCAGCATCATCTCAGTGAGCGGAGAGGCTCAGTGCCTGGTGTGACTCACAGTGCAGTGCAGGCATGTCCGAAGTAGGCTTGAAGCTGCAAGCTGTGCAGCTGTGCCCTCCTCTGAGGGAGCTGAGCTGGGTACTTCCTGCTGTTATGACTCTGGCAAAGTCACTGAGATCTGCATGATCATGTCTATATTTTGGACTTACCTAATTCAAACATAATTTCAGATCCAAGCCTAGAAATGGCCAGAAGGCCATGCTGCAGGAGCTGGAAACCTTCTGAGCTGAGGGAAGGTTAGCTGACAGATGGACTGGAGGAAGTGAGTGGGCCTGGGATTATGATAAAGGAAATTGCCTAGAAAGGGGGAGTAGCAGCTCCTCACTTTCTCCAACTGCACTGCGGGATAAAAGCTGGTAGCAGCTCAGCAAAATTAGATACTTTTTGGGGATTGGGCAGCCCTTCCTCTTCTGGGTGCATTGTGTTGTCCTGAACAAATGGAAACTGCAGACCAGAGAGTGTTTGGCAGTGCGGAAATGGAAGGAAGGGCCCTGACTCCAAGTCCTTTCTGTCCTGAAAGGAACTACTTTTACATTGCAAAGACCTGAGGCAGAGTCTTCGCCTGTCTTGTTCTGCCCTTGGTCTGACTGCATACACAACAGCCTTAATTAATTTGCCAAAAGATGTATGAAAGCAGAGGTGTCATGTTGTCAGTAATGCTCTACAGCAAGCTGCTTCCGTTGCTCTCAGCAAGGCGAGGGATGACAGGTTTGCTCTCCTTCCCGGTGGCATCTGCTAGCTGCTGAGCTTTTCTGCAAACTTGGCCACTTTGCTTGGTGTCTTTGAGAGAGCTGTTGGGGACAGAGGTCTAGGATAACAGACCTGATCAATCAAATTAAAATTAGTTAAAGAAGGAGAGACAGAAAGAGAGAAAGAAAAGGAACTACTTAGTATTACTGTACAGGGTTCTTTCTATTTTCCTTTGCTTATCGAATACTTTAGATTCTGTCACTTAAATGCCTAATGTTTTTCTGAAGGATGAACAGCTGAAGTCCCATGAAGCTAAGCTGAAGCAGATCTCCACTGAGCTTGCTGAACATCGCTCCTATCCTCCTGACAAGAAGCTCAAAGGCAAGGAAGTAGACGATTACAAACTGAAGGACCACTATCTGGAGTTTGAAGTATGTATGGGAAACATTATTACTTTTACTTTTTGGGTGTAGATGGGGCAGCTGTTCTTATGCTTGGGGTGCAGTCCTAAATTTCTGCATTTTTCACCTTACTTCACCAAGGACTATGTTCATGTTAGACAGATATGTCACAGCAGTCCCAGAAGCTCCTGGCTCCTTTCTGCTAAGAACTTCCTGTGACCTTAGCCATGAATTTAGCAACTCGTCTGTAAAATGGAGGATAAAAATGTGACCCTCTGTCCTTACCTGATGTAGCTATTTGAAGAGATGATGAGGTCTTCAGACAGGAACTGTCTTGTGTTGTAAGACTATGTATTGCGTAGTGTGTTGGCCCCCCAGTCTTTACGGAATGCCTGCATTCTGCAGTAACGCAGATCATGAAAATTGTCTTCAATTGATATGTTCTGAAGCAGCTGCTCTTCTAAATTACTGTTGTAGGCATGCCTCATCAGAACCATTTGTGTTGTGTTCCAGTGAGCTGGATGTCAGGACAAGCAGGAAAAGGGTAGAATTAAAGGTCACAGGACTAAGTGATGCAACCTAGGCATCTGCATTAGGAGATTCTGAGTATCTGACAGCAGCTTTTATCCATCATGGTGTCTGCCACATTGTAGAGCTCTTGTGGGAAGGGGTTGGCAACACAGCCAGGTGCCTGGTATTTTTCATGACTGCATCTTTGAGCTTTTTCCCCAGAACTGTGAGTCGATGTTTCCTTTGGTCTGAAAGAATCCTGCTTTAGATAGGCACTGCCTGGCAAGGAAAATCCATAATCTGAAGAAGAGAAAGAGCAGATAAGACAAAAGTCAGAGAGACTACCAGAGGAGATGCTGGAGGCAACACAAGCCTCCAGAACTGAAGTAAGCCTCCTGCCTTGTGTTGTATGAGTTTCTTTTGGAGGAGCTCTTTTTACTCCTAGGCTTGACTGGTTGTGTACTTTTGTTTTTGCGGAAGGTTGTAACCGCTGTGTTGGGTTTGACTTCACTGTAGCTCTGGGCTGCATGGCATACGGTGAGCTTGAGATGTTCTGCACAGATATTTTGCTGCTGTTTTGTAAAGGGAACACAGTTAGCCAGTTTGTTCTTCCACATCCCACATACTTGAAATGATCTGACCAACGATCAAATGATCAAGTGGTGGACAAGGGCAGACAAGCAAAGGGTACACAATGGTGTGAACAGGAGAGACTACATAATCCATAAAACAAGGCTGAAGTGAGGTGATGGGATAGCTCACATGACTTCATGAGTGCTTTCATGAATGGATACAGGCTTTTTAGAAAGAACAGACAGGGATGGCAAGGAGGGGGAGTCACCCTTTATGTGAGTGAGTAGCTGACACACATGAAAGTTTGCCTAAGGAAGGGTGATGAGCCAGCTGAGAACTTGTGGGTCAGGATTAGTGGGTTTACCAAGATGGGTGTAGTTGTGACGGCTGTCTGCTAGGCCTTTTTCAAAAAAATGGGAAGAAACCTTTTGTTTGCAGACCTTGGTCCTCATGAGGAGCTTCAGCCACCTCTATATCTGCTGGAGGGACAACACAGCAGGGCACAATCAATCCAGGACATTTCTTGAGTGAATTGACAGCAACTTCCTAACACAGGTGACCGAGGAGCAGACAAGGAAATGGATTTTGCTGGACCTCTCACTTATAAACTAGGAAGAACTGGTTGGGGATATGAAGGTCAGGGGCAACCATGGCAGCAATGACCACGAGATGTTGGACTTCGTGATCCTGAAAGGAGGGGTCAAAGTAAAAAGTAGAATCACAACCCTGGACTTCAGGAGAGCTGACTTTGGCCTGTTCAGGGCACTACTTGGAAGAATCCTTGGAAGATACAATCTTGACAGAAAGAGGGCTTTGGGAGAGCTGGTCACTTTTCAAGGGTCACCTCCTTTAAGCTCAGAAATGGTTCACCCTGACAAGCAAGAAACCAAGCAAAGAGGTCTGAAGGCCTTCATGGATGAACAAGTTGCTCCTGGCAAAACTCCACCATAAAAAGGAACTGTGCAGGAGGTGGAAGCAGTGGCAGGTGACTCCGGAGGAATAGAGATACCTGTCCAAGCATGTAGGATTGCATTTAGGAAAGTCAAAGCCCATGTGGAGTTGAATGTGGAAAAAGACGTGAAGGGGAAGAAGAAGGTTTTCTACAGGTATGTTAACAGCAGGACAGCTAGGGAACATATGGGCCCTAGCAGGGGCAGAGGACCGGATCACAAACAACAGGGAAACGCCAGGGTAGTCAATGTCATCTTTGCCTGGGTCTGTACAGGTAAGACCAGCCTTCAGCAGTCACAAATACATGAGCCCAGTGGGAAAATCTGGAACAAGGAAGACTTACCCTTGGTGAAGGATGATAATGTTAGGGAATTTTAAACTGGACATACACAAGTCCATACGATCTGATGGGTTGCACTCATGAGTGCGGAGGGAGCTGGATGATGTCATTGCAAGGCTACTCTCGATTACCTTTGAAAGGTCATGGTGATCAAAGGAAGTCTCTGAGGACTGGAGGAAAGCAACTGTCATTCCTGTCTTCAAGAAAAGCAAGAAGAAAGGTCCAGGGAGCTACAGGCTGGTTAGCTGCTTCTCTGTCCATGGGAAGGTGATGGAGCAAATTCTCTTGGAAATCACTTCGAAACACATTCAAGACAAGAAGGTGATTGTGAGTAATCGGCATGGTTTTAGGAAAGGGAAATCATGCCTGACCAACATGATAGCCTTTTACAATGAGATGTCTGGTGTGATGGATGAAGAGAGAGACAGTGGATGTTGTTTGTTCTTGACTTTAACAAGGATTTTGACATTGTCTCCTCTAACACCCTTGTAGACAAGCCGATAAAGCATAGACTAGGAAATCAACAGTAAGGTGGTTTGGAAACTGGCTGAACAATTGAGATCAAAGGGTTGTGATCAATGGCACAATGTCACTTTTAAACACAGCACTCATGTACAGAGCAAGCCACACACTTTGACTCTGTAGGGCGTCTTGTGCAATGTGGGAGGGCAAAGAGTTTCTTGGCTTTGGGTCCTTGACACAAAGTTTATTTTCTATCACTTTTAGAAGCATAATGAGTGAAATACAGGCTGATGGAGAAGTAGATTGTTGTGGGTTTTTTTCTGTTTTCTGTCAGTTTTGTCACGGCAGTCTTTAGAGAAATATTCCTCAGGTACCTCAGTACAAAGCAGAATCTTCGTTGCACCAAGTTGGTGGCACCAGCTTCAGTTGCATGTGGGAGTTGGTGATTCAAGGTGCTGCTATGCAATGCTGTGTTACCTTCACACTTGGCACAGATTTCGCAGGCTGTGTTGAACCATCAATAAAAAGAAAATAAAAGGTGAGCTATATGAAAAATCCTGAATGGAAACTTTCCCCTGGTTTTGGGGTTTCCTCACCTTCCCTTCAGAAAAAAAAACTGCCAAGGTCAAGCAGGAGCTGATGACAGACCTTGCTGCATGGAGTCAAAGCCGAAAGGCAAGAGGCAAGTGAGGCAGTATTTTGTACTTGGCTCTTTCAGACTGAAACTACAGACCAGACCGTACATCCATGTACAAAGGGCCATGCTGATCCATCTCCAGAAGCACACCAAAAGGACCTGTGAGTCTCAAAGGAAGCAGCATAGTCCCATTAGGAGGCAAGAAGCCAGATTGCTTTTCTGTAGGCCCTTATAATTCCTTTTTGTTCACCCACCGGTGTTCCCTTCATTCTTATTCCTGATGAAAGACGTGTAAGATGGTGTTTCCTTCTGAGAAGAGGTGAACTAGGAGACGCCTGGTCCTTGTTCAGGACTGCAGCCAGGAGTGTTTCTTCTTGCTGGTGTCTTTGCTTGAAGACACCAAGGAAGGAAAGTTTATCTTTTCTTGCTGTCTGAAGAAGTACTGCTCCAGATGATGGTTGCTCATTGCAGCAAATTTATGGTTTGAGAGAGGTGTTTTGAGTGCTGTCGGGTGAGAGGTGAAGCCAGAAATTTGATGGGTGGCTACCTCATCTCCTCTTTATTATGTGCATTCGGTCTTCAGAGATAATGTTGCAGAAGCTTTTGACTGATTTTAACTTTTATGGTTTTACTTTCTTGACTGAATTTTCCAGTTTAAGTTCTTTTAAGGAAGTATTTCCACTAGCTTTAATACCTAGCTTTAAATGTCAGATGAGTAGAAGAGCAAGTTTGTTGTACTTGAAATCAAAATAGAAGCTGCCAAATGCATTGCATAATTGCGATAGAAATCATGGGCCCACGAAGTCCAGAGCAAAATGGCCACTGGCAGACATGCAGGGCAGAAACTGGTCCTGGATTTCCATTCTGATGGGTGGCTCTTTTTCCCCTGGCACGGTTTACTGGACCAACAAAATGCAGAAGCCCGTATGGTGGTAAAGTCTCTCTCCCTTGATGAATATTATGCTGATCCCAGGCTTAGAGCACTGGCTTGCCTTCTCTTTTGCAGAGGTGTCCCGTTCGTGCTGTGATGAATCATTCATCAGCCCAGTGCATCATCGACAGGGTTCTGCTCACTGTTTCTCCATTTCCTTTTTTATTGAATGACACATCTTACCTGCTTCATGTGTTTATCTCTTCCATTGTGGAGCTGGAGCTCCAGATATGGAATTGATAAGAAAGCTTCTTTATTTAATTTTTAGGTGGATTCTTTTATGATGCTTCTCTATAAGTTTTTGTTTATTCAAAGGACTCTTTGGAAACCCAGTCACATTCTCTTCTTCCCCGCCCCCCACTTTTATATTCCACACTTCAAAGCAGTTACCAAGCTTTTTGACTTCCTGCCCTCGAATAAGTGTTATTACCAGAACTTTGTTATTTTATTATAAATTGTTTTGTTAAACACTTTTTCCTCTGTCAGGAACATAGTAGTTTGGCAGCTGTTTTGCCACTTTGAAATATAAATTAACAATTAGTACAGATGTTTACATCCTCCTTCCCTCGTCCCCAGCCCACTGAGATCACCTTAATTACAGTGCCTGCACCACACCTTTAGTGGGTACGTCAGGTACAGGTTATTAAACAAATCCCAGGAAGTGGGTTGCTCTCTTCTCAGAACCTCCTGCCCCAGCTTCTGTTTTTGAGGTATTGCAGTGATCTTCTGTTAAGGTACCCTCATTTTGTTGGTTGACGAGATAGTCTGTGCAGACAGTTGTTACTGTGGCACACAGAGCAAACTCTTCCCGTTGGAGAGGGAAAGCTCTGCTCCAGACAAGGAACAGGACAAGTGGGTCTGGGGCACAGTAAAGTGAACTTTTTCCAGTTGAAAAGTACAAGCATCTGGACATTCATCATTCACCATGAGTGCCCCTGTCAGGAGAACATGCTGTGCTGCTGTCGCAGACCTCTCCCATCTGCTCCTTTTTGTTAAGGTCTGGCCTTGCAGAGAGCATCCTCTCATGGGCTCAGTGGTGGCCAGGCTGGTACAGTCTGAGCTTAGCAGGACCCTAGTTTGGTTTCTTCACTATGGACTGAAGCAAGGAGAGCAGGACCTGCTGGTGGGAGTGGAGGGTCGCAGGAGAGAGCTGTAGCCAACCAGAGCAGGACTTTTGTTGTCCCATAGTTTGCTGCACTTTATCCCCATCTCTTTGTGGGGCCCTTAACATCTCAATATGTGTGAGCACAGAATATGACTCAACGTGACTAAGGTCAGCAAGCTCTCTGCTTGGTGTTGTTACTTGGAAATCACCATGCGCTCCAACCAGCTGGGTGCCACCATTCAGCAGAGCCAGGATTTGTGTGCTGCAGAACTGAGTGCCGCTAATTGCACAGAACCCCCGGGCTCAGCCTGCCTGAAACCCTTTTTGTACAGTGTAATTTACATTAGCCACTATTGTTCCTGTCCACATCAGGCACCATTGTTCGCATTCATATCAGGCTCCTGGCTTTCAAGGCCAGCAGAAACCATTAAGCTACCCAGACGGTCTCTCAAGTGCTTCTGCAGAATTTCTTCCAGTCTGATTCGGCCCTTTCTTTTCATTTCCTAGAAAAATCGCTATGAGATTTACGTTGGCCTCCTGAAAGAAGGGGTGAAGGAGCTGCTAAGCGGAGGAGAGAACGATGCGCCAGGACTGAAGAAATCCCACTCGAGTCCCTCATTAAATCAGGAGTCTCCAGTTAGTGCCAAGGTGAAACGCAACGTCTCGGAGAGGAAGGACTACAGGCCAGAAACACCCAGCATTAAGCAGAAGGTCACTTAGGGTGGAGGTGACAACTAGGGGAACAGCCATGCAGCAAAGTACCGGTGGTCAAAATTTTTTCATTTAATAACCTGTCATTCACGAAAAATAAGTGCATCTGCCTGAATGGGGTGTTAGTGACATTTTCTATTGTATATTTTGCTGTTTCTGTGCAGATTGTGGGAGATGTCTTTGCTCCTGCTTTGCTTTGCTTTGCTTTGTTAATTTATCATTTAGCAATTGAAGCATCGGGACTTTTTTGTGTTGTTCTGTTTCTAAAGGAGCTGGGGGAGGGGTAGAGTGCTGTGACATATATTCTGTCTCTTCCCCGTTTATCTCCTCCCATCGGCACGTGGCTTTCATCTCTCAAGTCACTTGTCACTTTATTTACGTGGTGGGTGGGAAAAGTAACTGGACAAATGCTGCAGTGCTGTGAATGCAAGCTGTAGCTGTGAGAAGAGCTGTGCAAACGGGCAGCTGCGGAAGGCTGGCTAGAGCCTAGGGTGCTGGGAACAATGGTTTCCTGACAATGCAGAGCATGTTGGTACTGGTACTTAGCAGCAGGTGCTACAGTAAATAGTCACTGTTGCTTATTGTTACTGCATTGACCCTGGACCCATGAGCACGAAGGAACGAAACTTGGAAACCTCTGGCAATGCTGGGAAGACAGCATTGGAATAATTTGTTTGCTTCCTTCCAAGCAAAGAGTCTTCTGAGTTAGCAGGCTGGGGGTATCCAAAGCCGTGCTGTCTCTGCAGTCAAGGAGATTAGGGATTACCCAGTCTGAATGACAAGTGGGCTTTAAATTTATTTTTGAAGGAGGCTGCTGTAGATGTCAGCCATTAGCGTTGTATTTTAAAGACAACGGGCATCTGTGTAGTTTTTAACTGTACGCTCTCACTTAGCTGCTATATAGAGCCTTATGGTATATCGTTCCCTGATGCTTCCTCTTCCAGGAGTTTCCTTGTTGGTGTGCACAGATAGGTTTTGGCAATTTCTCTGCTAGTGACAAAGCACTTTGTCTTTTCTCTTCAGCAAGGGGTTCTCCTCAGCTCTCCATTTTCCTGCTTTAGCTCACATATAGGTGGAAGAGGCTGCTGCAGACCAGAGAAGGGGACGGATGTGTCCTTGCTGTGGGCCAGGGTTTGATGCCATCCTGTCTACTCCATACCCGGAGGCCAGCACAAGGTAGCCTCAGCTTTGGCAGATCCTACCCTCCACCCGCAGGGAAGCAGCCTGCCTTGCAGCTCCTGCATACCCTGCGCCAGGCTTTCAGAGGGGAGCACAGGACAGGGAGAGACCACCATGGGTAGAGCTTTCCGTACCTGAAAGCCTCCTGTTTGTGCCACAAACTCTTGGGGTGGCCAGCAGTCTTCAGGCACAGGGAGTAGAAAGATGATGTAGAAATCACCTTCCTGCTTCCCAGCCACTCCCGCCCGGGCAGCAGCGTGGCTCTGCAGAGAGTGCTGGCTTACCTGTTACTTAACACCCTGGGTTTTGTTCTCAGGTTTGGTACTGACCTGCTGGATGAGCTCGGGCAGGTCTCTCCCGTTTTGCCTCACCCTTCTCCTGTGCAGAGTAGTACAACCAAACTGGCATCTCCCGCAGAGCACCTTGGGATGGCCAGTTGAAAATTGTTCATTGCTGTTATTTTTGTTGTGCCTGGCACAGGACAACCTTCTTGATGGATATAATTCTTAACGCATAAAGAAATGTCATGATCGATGCAAGGACCATTTAGAATTGCGCTGGTGTTTCCAGCCCAAGTAGTCGAAGGGCCACACATCAAAAAAATTACCACCTGAGGGGATTTGTGCTCTGCCAGACTCCCCAAAGGGTCCAAGTCAATTAATCTAGCTTATTGAACTGCCAGTTCAGTGGGCAGGACAGGGAGCAATCAAAGAGAGAAGGACCTTAAGAGGCACCACATGACTTGCCTCCCTCACTGAGGACCACCGTGCAACAGCTTTCCCAGTGTTGTGCTCAAAATTGGCTGTAATGAAGATGTTGCACTCTCAGATGCTGGGAAGTGTTGGAACAAATCGATCCTCACAGTTGCAGCCCAGCAGCAGAATCAGATGGGACTCTTTCCCCATGTGAAGTTGGGACATGCACACACCTGGCATCTGCCACTGAGAGTGGTCACTCCGTGCTAGAAGTCAAGAGGTTGGCCCCTAACCCTGACAATGTTGCTAAAAACTGCAGAGTCCTGAGTGGAGACCGTTAGCAATTCCTGAGCCAGCAGAGCCAAACATTCAGTTTTCTTCCTGAAGAAGAGAGATGCCTTCTGCTGCCAGAGCCTCAGTGATGTGGTGCAGCATGCTGTGTTAGGAGACTCAGTGTGGACAGGTGCGTGATAGTGCTCATTGGGATGGATTGTTTGAATTAATCAAGTGTGGTAGATCAACCGCTCATGGAGGGGAAACAAGGCCAGGAGATCCCTGCAGCTGTTCATCATGCTCTAGTGGTTTAAAACAAACAAGCAGAAGAGAGAGAAGAAAAAATTCGGGGAATGCCAAAAGCACATTTGAGAATAAAACTTGTCCTGTCTTAGATAACGGCGTTAGGAAGCATGCAGCAGACACAAAAAAATATGTGCAGATTTGTAGATGGCCTCTACTTGGCTGTCAGGGCGGGGTTGTCTAGATGAGCTTTTTGAAGGCAGGCTGGAACATGCCCAGCAAACCTCTTGTGATTATGGAGTGCAGTCCTTTAAAAGGCAAAGAGGTGACATTTAACTTTTTTTCCTGGCTTTTAAAATATTCTGGTTGCTGTAGACTGCAGTTAAATTGCTGAGCTCAAAAAGAAATGATTCCTGTAAAATGCATTTCCCAGCTTTGACACAGAAACTGGATAACTCCCCTTCAAAGTCATTGCAGAGGAGATGATTTGAAGCAATAGGACAAGTCAAAAAGTGAACTGCAAAAATGATTTTTTTTTTATTTTTCATTATTTATTCTCTATTTCCATGTACACTTGTAAACGGATTAGAGTATATTTTTAAAGTCTCATCTGGTCTTAGCAAATGCAGTTTTTCACTGCGTTTTTTAGTCATTAAACAGTTGTTGAGCTTGGAGCACTCTTGGTGAGACTGCTGAGGCGTGCAGATTAGTTCACTGAAAATTTGTCAGGTTCTGCTCGAGTTTTAATTAACGCCATTTTGCTTCGTTGCATTACAAATTCTAGGCATCCCAGTCACCCATGTGAAAACACACATTTCGGAGGCCAAGAGAAAAAGGTGATCCTGTTGTGAATACCTAAGGCTCCTGGACTTCCTTGGGAATAGGATCATCTACTAAGCAGTACTGTAATTGGCTTTTTTCCCTGCCTTGATATTATTGTGAAAGGTGGGGGCAGGTTCTCAGGACATCTTAGCCGTGCATCTTCTTGGGTGGCACCACTGGGAGTCTGGCCAGGTAGCCTTGCTTGGTACCTGGTACTCTGCCTTTCTTTGCTGAAATGTTTGCCCTTAGCAGCGATCAGTGCTTGACCTCAGTGCCTCAGGAGCTCCTGTTGCAGTACGTAAGGATACTCTGCTTGTTTCCAGCCCTCCTATGGGACCCACCGTGCACCTGAACTTGGTATCAGCGGAGCAGCCTTTAGCTTTCCAGGGGTGCTCAGCGCGAGCAGCCCTCAACTGGCAGACCACCGCAGACCACTGCGAGCGTGTGTGTGTGTGCAAGCCAGCCTTTTAGTCCATGATGCAGGGAGATGTCATCCTTCCTTGTCATCCTCCCTGCTGCAGCTTGCAACCATCGCTCAGGCAAAGCCTCTGCCTGCGTGTTAAGAGAGAGGATGCAAGGAGAGGAGCGGGATGGGGCCAACATATCCCCTCTCAAGGTGCAGACAGAGGTCCTGGAGGAATCCATCCTGCTCTGAAGTGTTGCTAGTTGCTCACCCTCCAGGGGCTGGACCGTCTCCTCTCCCCAGCTGAGGGAGGACAGACCTGAGAGAACCTCACTGGGTGTGCACCCGACAGCAGAGTGGCGAGGGAGAAGGACAAATTGCCTTTCCCTCTCCATTCAGGAACCAAATCAGGTGAGATACTCTGAAAGTATCTAAAGTGAAAACTGCACTCTCCTCCATGAGTCAGCAGGATGCAGGGGTCTGGTTGAGATGGTTTTCGTTCTGCAGCGGCTGCGAAAGAGACTCTCTGGGCCGGCTGTGTGTTTGTGTGCGTCTTGCAGATAAATCACGCATGGACCAGTGAACATGACTACAGCTTTTAAATCCAGTATTTATGTTGTGTCTTTAATTGATGTAGAGAGATAAGTCAGCCAGCAGAGTGATTAATGCAGCAGAGCTGTGGGGGAACTCTGTTCAGCTGTGACGCCGACACAGACAGTTTTTCATCTGTAGCCAGCCACTTATTAATGGTTATCAGAAGCTTTCTAAGGGCTTGTAACAGCTCATCCCTTAAGTGCTTTCCCTCTGATCCTACCTGCTCCCAGGATGCCGTCTGTCCACGTCTGGAGGCTCTCCTGGAGAGCAGTGCTCAGCACAGCCCTGCTTTGAGCAGCACTAGCAGACTTTCAGAGACTGGAATTGTTTGTTGACTTTTCACAGCTCCAGTGCCTTCTGGTAGCAAGGCTGGTTGTTCTTCTGGTTTGAAACAGCCAATATTTTTGTCTTTCTCCTGTGGAGGAGCAACGTTCTTGCATGATTAGAGCAGTGATGAAGTGGTTGTGGCAGTGGAGAAAGTCGAAGGTGGCAGGGTTATGGGCTTCTGGAGGCATTGCATGGCAACGTTCTTCTTGAAAGCGAGGAAGGCTTTTCTCTGCAGATGGCATACCGCTTACCGTGTCTGCATTCTCCATCCCTGAATCAATTTTGGCCTTATCACAGTTAGTCTGACAGCTCCTCCTCCTTTTCTGTCAAGTTGCTCCTGTCTGTCATCTTAGCACCTCAGCTGCTTCTGTATAACAGGTCTCTTTCCTTACATGCTTGCAGAAATCCAGAAAATTTGACTATCCCATCTTGCCTTGAGAAAACCTGCTCTGAAGCAGCGTGGCGTTGAATGG